TAAGACCAATATAGATAGTAGAAAATAAATAGTTTAATGTTATAAAATTATATTTCTTGAAAATAATATAAAATTTCTGTGGAACATAGGTTGAGGAACACTGATCTAAAGAATAAAAAAACCAAAAATATATATTTTATAAATATGGATGTTATTATTGAATTTAATTATTTGTTAGATTGTAAGTTTTTTTTTGCTTTTTCACACCAAAATTATTTATATCACAAATCCTAGGATTTAAAACTCTCAATAATCGAAAGTCCAATGTAATTTCATATCTGATATTTAACTATGTGATTATGTCTTCAAACTGTATTTAAATCAAAATATTAATGATTGTTATTGCTTTCAACATTGCAATCTTTCATTATTATTTGAATGTAAGTTGCTTCAAATAAATATTAGTATCATTATGTTAGTAATTTGATTTTCATTGAATGCTAATATTCAAATCCAAGAATAAACATATTCTAGTATATTTAATTAATGGATTTTCATCCAATTAAAATAAATGATATATCATAGTCCAAGGGTCGGCAAACTGCGGCTCGCGGTTCACATGGCTACTTACATTGAGATTTTTACTGAAATTTAAATGAAAATAAAACTACAATTTTGAACATTTTTAATGCTAAAATATATTTGTTGTTCTCAAATAATTTTTAAATTGTTGTGATGTTTGGCTCTTCATTCTCAAAAGTTGCCAATTCCAGTCATAGTCAAAGCTTGTAATTTCAGCATTATTAATTTTAGAAAATTACAGTAAATAAACTAAGAAATTTTTATATGGTAAAACTTTATTTATTGAAAGTAATTTACCGTTTTATTCTTTTTTTCAACATTTTGTTGAAAATTATATTATATGTTTTGTATAAATTTTAATTATTCAATTTAACTTTGTATTGTGAAAACTGTTTCATTTTTTTTTCAAGTCATGGTTTTCCAGGTATAACTATAAATATAAATGTTTCGAGTAGAAATTGAATTAGTGAGAATTTAAACGGAACAACAAAGCGACTTACAGTTGGCAAATACCAGTCGCATTCCATTACCAGTTTTATTTATAGAGCTTTTAATTGCGAACAATTTATTGCGGCCATACAACAATATATTATTTGTTTTCAGAATTACTTTCTTAAATAAGTTTATAGATTCACATATCGAATAGTATCATGATTTACAAAATGTATTAAGTTTTGTTTTTACTTTAAATATGTTTGGGAAAAACAACAATTTATAATTCGTTTTTTAGAATTCTTACTATACTTTTCAATTTAAAATGAATTCCATTTTTTGTTCTTTAAACAAGTTTTGTGAAATGCCATAATATATGATTCGTGTTTATAATTATATTTTGAATATCATCATGAGTTCAGCAATAACTCGCATAGTCCGGGTAATCGGTTCTGCCGGCGTACTGTTTGAATCCGGACTAAATTAAAACAGTAGGACCATGAATTTAATTATTTAAAATATTATGTTGTTAAATTTTTCATTTTAATAAGTTTAAGTAATTCAAAAAATACATACTTCGTTTTTAGAATAATTTTATTTTTGAAACTTATAATTAAAGTATCAAAAATTTAAAATATGTTCAATTTTTGCTTCAATTTAAGAAATGCAAATAGAAACTATGAACTTTGCCTGAAATTACGATTTTGAACTTTGTTTCGTCAGAGTTCAAACATAATCAATCAGTGTTGAGATAATTACTTTCGTATGGCGTAAATGTCTTGAGAGATAACAAAAAAAATAAATATAAGTATGTTTGGAAGTATTGTTTTTGTTTATTTTTTCATAGCATATTGGGTTAGCTGCGATCTGCGGATTTCGGTTGTTCGTATTTCATACAGCCTTGTCATATTGGTCGTATGTATTACATGAATTGTTCGAAGTGCGTGCAACATATGGTTGGTTACAAATGTTTCAGTACGAAACACTACTTCCCAGAAAGTGTCCATTTATATCGACTATTTGTAGCTTCAAGTATGTGTGTCTCTGAATTTAGTGGAAGCGTTCTGCAGAACCACGGAAATGGACATTACCACCAGCAACGGCTGGATGGATCAGAACTGGACGAAGGACGATACCAGTTCAAATTTTGCCTCCTCGCGTAGACAATCCGAATGTAAGAGATTTCATCTAAACTTAAGAACCAAATAATGTTCATACACATACGAATTATTTTTTTAGCTACAATAATTCAATGATTATTTTAAAACATTACATTATACCATCAAAATATATATAATTATTTAAAATATATTGAGTAAATTAAAAACATGAAATTATTCTTTATTTAACCTACTACAAATGCTCTAACAAATTATTTTTTTTTTAAATTATTAATAATTTCAAATTAAGTATAAAAAAATGTACTACATTGTTCAGTGAAAATTATAAAAAAATAATAATTAAAATTTTTATATTTTTTTTTTAAATTACTTTGAAAAATATTTCAATGAGATTAACTCAGTTTATGATTATTCAGTGATGTTATTTGTTGAGCTTATTCTGTTATCGTCAATATAAATAATTATCAAACTTCCGATAATTATAATAAATATTTATGGATGAAATATTTCCTCAATTGTTATTAATAATACTCAATAAAATAAATCAATGTTTATCATCAAGCAGATGGACTTTGGTCGAAACCTTTTTGTACATAGTTCAATGAATATTATTAACTCTTCCAATAATATGAAATTATCAAATTTCATACGATTTATTTAATTTAATCTATAAATAAGAGATTGAAAGTATTTCGAGTTGATTTCTTTATTGTAAATGTTTCACTAAAAATTTTATATATAGTTTATTTTATAGTTTGATTATTTAATATAATCTTTTGTATTGTCTAAATTATTGTAATTACACATTTATATCAATAAAATTGTTATGAAAAATCTATGCTTGATATATTTTACATAAGAAAAATCTATTTTCTTTTTATTTTTATATATTCACATTCATTACAATTATTCGAATAATTATAATGAAAGGTAAATTTAAGTGAATAATAATAATAATAACAAAAAGTCTTAATTTTATTTTTAATAATACTGTAGACTAATTAGACTCTAATGTGAAAATATAACAGAGAAAGTTTATTGGAAAGAATTCTGAATTATTGCTCAAATCATATTTAGCTTCTGGTCGAAGCCGGACTATGCGAGGTATTTTTGTATAAATAATGTTGGATTTTTTTTTTCAATAATAATTAATATTAACTAACAAATCATCTTTATTTCTTATTCTGTCTATATTATTACACCTGTTACATTTATTTTAAACATATTGGCATTGACCTTTGCGAAATAGTCGTTCTAAAAAAAATGTTACTTGTTTATTTTAGATGCGGGAAAGCTATTTTTGCATGGTCAGAGGAAAAGCCAAGATGCGTGAATCAACATCAACTAAAAAAAATATAGCAATTTGGCAACTGCATTGATACCACTTCCTTGAAATTCAATACGAGGAAAATTTGATACTTTGCATGCATTTAAACGCTTCATTTACGAACGGTGAAAGTAATTAGTGTTATGCGCATATGAAACATAATGCAAATTGCAACAGCAAATACTAATAACATACAAACAAACAGAAAAATATAGCATCGCGCACTTTTCTAGCCTTTAAAAATAGACGTTGTTTTCGCTGCACTGTTTATGTCTGAATAACTCTGCGTTTCGGTTCCTCATTTATTTATAATTTGTTTATTTCATTTAATTTTGTTTTTGAAATAAACGACGTCTAAATAAAGGTTTTTTGTTGTTGGGAACGTTGTTGATCAAAACTTTGGTTTGTTTTCATTTTTTTTTAAATACTTAGAGAATAGTTTATTCAGTTTGCAGGAATTATGATGTTTACAGGATAATTAGGTTTTTAATAATGTCTTTTATCAATTTGTTTTTATATTATCCGTTTATTATTACACATTATAATACAGTTTTCGTCAAATGGGGGCATTTGCCAAATTAAAGGTGAAATAGCTTCTTCGGATGAAAGCAGATTGTTCAACAAAGTTGACAAACCGTGGTAAAAATATGGTTAAATAATAGAGTATGTTTGTGCTTCTTCTGATCTGCTGGAAGAAAATCATAGTTATGATGACGAAGAGACTCAAATCAACTATTCCGATAATTGGAAAAACATTTGCTTCTACATAATCCATTCATTGAAAAAGCTACGTAGTTTTAATGCGAATTGACATCTTGGCCAATGTTTATATTAAATATACTTTTTTTACGATTTTCTCTACACGGATTACGAACCAATATACCATGTAAAAACAGGTTTGAGTGTATTGTACAATACATTTGTTGAGTCTACTTTTTTGATTAAATAATTAAATAAAATATAATTTAATTATCAAAAGGATTGTTCTTATTATTATTTGGGTAGTATTCTTTAACTCTTTGAGGAGCCAGAAATTTCTAGACCCAACAAATTTCTAGACAACTGAATCAGACAGCTACGTCAACTGAATCAACATCAGAAGATATGGCCTATCAAGATTCATCCTTTGATATACCAACCAAATTAAAGGATAATTCCTCTTTCCTGGACATTTGCTAGAATATTATAATAATGCCCCATATGACATGTTCAAAAGGTGGGATAAAGTGTGTCTCACCGCCCCTCAAAGAGTTAAAACGTAAATATAGTTTTTTTTTTTAATATATTTTTGATGCTGCGTTTTCATTGTTTGTTTGGTTTAAATAATTATAGAAAATATAATTTAATTTTCAAGATCTATTGTATTTACAGGATTATTGTTAAGAGTTTATTCTTATTTTAATTACTTATTATGATGTCTAAATAAAGATTTTTGAGAATGTTTTTGTTGTTTATCAAATCTGTGTAGTGTCTTCATTTTTTGGTTAAATAATTATATAAATTGATTTGTAGGAATTATTATACAAAATAATTAATACTTTCTATCTATTTTTATGTGTGTATTATACAATTATATTAAATGTCTTATATTTTTTTAGGTAGCGATAGTCCATCGTATACAGCTTCAAGATATCCGAAGAAGGAGATTGGAAATGATTTGTCGAATGAGATATCTGCACCTTACGAGGTACCACAATTTCCCATCGAGCAGATTGAGAAGAAACTTGCAATTCAAAGGCAAATCAATGTCAAGTGAGTATACAAAACACATATTCATTATAAATCTGCTTACTTTTGATACAATTTTGGTTCAATTTATTGCATGATTGTTCTGAAAAAAAATTGAGAAATAAAATGATCACGAATTTTGAAAGGATTCATTTTCAATATTTTGATAAATTAGGTTTTGAGATAATTGATCCAATTACTTTATAATGTGGTATTTGTGCACAATATTCACAATTGACCAGTTTTTAATGTCCTTAATTAGTCCGGTTTCAAACAGTTCGTGATATTAGTGGAAGCGATTAATCGGACTATGCGAGGTATTGGTGTATTTATATCTACAATTTATAAAGTAATATTAATATTTTTTCTTTTTAAACAAATATTGATTATCATGTAAGAAAACACAAAATATGGTGATATGGTGGTAATTTAAATTTTAAATTACCGAAACCAAAAAAATGTTACTCTTATACATTGTTTTTTGGTTATTAAATGCAATTATTAAATAATTTATAAGCAAATAATTGAAGATAAATTACTAATTGTTTGAATGTATTAATGCTATTATATGTGTAATGTATGTTTGAGTATAATTTTCGACACGCTGCAAATGGTTTGAATAATGGAATTGTAAGAAAATTAGATGTAATAATACAGAAATGCATGTATTCATCACATCCGAATGAAATTATAATGTTCTCTGTGCGAGATAATCGTTATTCGTCGAATTCGAATTTAATTCGGACATAATGAAGTATTGTAACGCGATTTCTATATAATTAGGTTAATTGCTCTCCTTTGTAGCGTTACGTGCACAACTTCTTAACGGGACGCTCTCAAATGAATTTTAAATAGAGAATTGTAAGTATCGGTCGCAATTAACCTTTACCCTTCATGTTTGAATGGAACAAGTATTTAATGATTCTCCGAAGTCTCAGAGTGAATGAGACAAAAGTAAAGTGGTGACCACTTCAGAATTAATGAAGAAAATCCAGATATGGTAGGCATTTTAAAAAGTGATGTACATTGCAAATTGACAGAAAATTTGGGGATGAGGCGTTTGGTCACAATCGCGATGACCAAAATCAATGAGTTAAAGTTCGAATTGCATCCTCACGCATCCGATTCGTCAGATTTAGCACCTTCGGCTTAATGTCTCTTTTCGAACTTAAAAATGGCTCCGTGGTAAAAGATTTCCCAACTATGAAGAGGTGGTTTCTTTTTGGCTATTTTGTAGAGCTTTACTGTTCTCACTATAAACATGGTATGGAACCTATTGAACATCGCTGGGAAAAGTGTTTCGAGGTAAAAGAAGACTATGTCGAGATATAAAGATATTTTTTCATTTTTTGTTTTTTTTGTAGGTCGCGGGTACTTCTGTATATAAAATTGCCCTCGTATATACAATTTCATATTTTCTGTTGATTGGTTAAATTTGGCAGAAATCTGTTGGATGAGTAAACATTATAAGTATTTCTTTTGTTGTTGTTTTTGTTGTTCGGAAAGTAATTATATGAAATTAACGATCATTTCGACACTTAGATGTTGACATTCATAATGTTCTATAAATAATTATCTATATATAAAATAAAGAAAACTAAAAGTTATTATTCAGTGCAACATCGCATAACGAGTATAATTCATTCCCAAATCCTTTCGTAATGCTAAACACTCGTTAAGCGAAATAATCTTATTATCTTTTTGCTGTTGTTTTATAACAGTCTTCTTTCGGATTTTTCTTCGTGATCATTTTTGCAAGGGTTGTTAAAAATATCACATATAATATGTCTGAACATAAGTATAAACTTGAAAAATGATATAGCAGGCGCACAATCGCTGGATAAGCGATTGGAGTTTGTTACAATTTGTTTTTCTCGTTATGCGAATTGCTATTTAAGCGAGGTTCCACTGTATATGTAGATTCTGTTTTTATTTATTTAGTCTAGACTCTAGATCTCTAGACTCTAAATTGCATTGTAGTATTTTAATGATGTTGCAACTTCTAAGGCGCAGATTCATTGATGCGTTGTATGTAATATAGCATAAATGCATAAAAGTGTTTTTGCAGCAATAAATACATTAAATGCTACTTCTTTCCAGTTTGACCTAGTAAGCATTTTTCATTATTGATAAAGAGTACATAAACTAATGATTATTAATTATACAGTAATTTTAATAGTTAATATATGTTATTTTATTACATTGTCAAGATAAATAAAGAGTACAACTATTAATTAATTAGTTAATTTAATATTCCTTCGTACTGTTTCAAACCGGACTAATCGAGGAATTTAAAACTACATAAATATGAACTGTGCAAAAACAGACTTGACGTTTCTACAGTAATAAAATAATAAGGCGTCTAATAGCCGAATGGTTAAGTCGAATCCTGGTCAAACCAGGACCTTTGTGAGCCCTCTCGGTGTTTGCAGCAATAGAGCCATTATTCATCCGAGATGGACAGTCAAATTAGTCAAAGATTATCCATTTAATGTCAACCGCGATCTTAAATTTACTCAAAGTTCACAAAAAAAATTGATTTATTGAATGAATAAATGAACAAACTAATCTAAATTGAAAATAAACAAACTCTAATTATAACAAAATCAAATAAAAATTCTATAATCTTACTGCAAATGTAACTCGACATCGGACTTTTGTGTATTTTTTCAGAATTTATTTTTTATTTTGCTTATTTAAAATTTAGTTTACTTGAAATTTTCAAATCGGACTATACTGAATTCGTATTCATCGTAACCGAACAATGTGAGGTATTGCTGTACGCTGATATTGGATTAAGTAACTAAATCAATTTACATATTATAATTTTTGTAGTAATGGGATAGGTGACTATTACTGCAGATATATTTCTAGAAGAATTTTTATATAAGAAATATTTTAATGGATTCAACTGAAAAAAAAAGAGCGAAAAGTGTTGACTTATTATACTAATATTACGAAATAAACTATCTTCGTTCACTTACGTTTGATAATATGAGCAAAATTATCAATTCCTTTGAATGGATATTTCTACATTAGTTCAATTATCCGTACGAACCTACTATGATATCATATATATTTACTTTTAAGAATAAATGTAGGAAATGTTACAACAAATAATTAATGGAACGAGTACTATACCTTCCTAATTAAGTTATATCATGCTTATACACTAATTAGAGATGTCTTCAAACTCAATTACTTATCATTAGCGTGCTTCTTTTTACTTTTTTTGTGAACGTCATAATTGATGTCTAAATGGTTATAGCGATGCGATGGCGACTTGTGCATGCGTTTCTCCCTCCTATCTTTACGAGCTAATCAAGCGAGGGTGGTTCCGCGCATCATCAACATCATCATAATCATCGTCGTCACCGTCATCGCGTTGCGTGGATAGAGTGGGGAGAACGTTAGTGATGGTTGGTTTGGCTCAGTAAACTAGAAACAAATACCACACTTTTCCACACCCCTCTGCTGCCTGCAACCCCCTACCATATCCCCCGCACACCGTAAAATGTACACAGAAAACACCGCAAACAGTTCATGTGTCCGGCTTCGTGACACACTTTCAATTACACCCTACAACAATAATAGTCGACGCATTTGAATTTAGGACTTTGAATATCGAAACACACTTTCGTTTTGATCTGATGAGAGCATGTTCGGTTTGGCGGACGAATGGCTAACTCAGCCGTATTATTTTGGGTAATTATGAACATTCAGTTTAATACGAATCTAGAATTACAGTTTAGTAAGAGACTCTCAGTTTAGTGATTCTTCTTATAACATTATTAATTAATTTGATAGCATTAAAAATATGGATTATTTTGAAATAAATAAATTATTTGAAAGTGATTAGCTGTGTATTTGCTTAATCGATATGGATTATCTAATAATATTATGAATGTATTGTTCATTTTAACTGCATTGTCATGTTGGATGTCTGTAATACAGCTTTATTGTATAAGGTTTCTCGATATCCGTTACGTAATATTCTGTAATTTCTTAATTGAAACAAAATACAATATGGTTTATGTCAATATCTACCAATATTTCCAATACCTGGCGCATCCGCATTTATAAAGAAATAATTTATTGTCATAAAAAGTTTTGTGAATATTTTATTATTATTCATATTCACTTTAAAATAAGTTTCTATAATTATAAATAACTACATGTAAATGTCAATTGTGGTATAATTTTAATTGAAGGCAATGAAGAATTATTCGAATATTGCAGATTTCTGTAAAATTTGCTTAAAAGTATTATTTAAAAATGTAATATTAACACAGATCTATAAATTTGATATACTATAAAATTACATTTAATGTATGGTACAATTACATAATTATTTGATCATTTACAAGCAGATAATGAAACTAATTGAATCCATTTAATTTTCATTAATTGCTTCAATTAATCAGGTTGATGCTTTTAACATACGTTTAATATTGCGACGTGCATCGTAGGAGACGATATAAGGATGATTAAAACTATAAAATAAAACGTGCTCATAATATCTTTTGTGTCTATTTCAGGGCTTTGGAGGAGAGGAAGAGCCATTATGAGCCATCTTTAGGACAAGCGGACGATGCTGCTTGCATCATAGACGAGCACGATTTGGTGCCGCACTTTCAAAGGGTCTCAATTTCCGGAGAAGATACAAGCGGTGTAAGTTAAATAGATACATTTTTATTTGCATCTCCTCTTAGCTTTTAATAGTGAGCATTTTGAATTATTAATTAGAACAGGGCTTATTATTATTATTATTTATTTTTTTCATTGTGATTGTGTAAAAAATTTTTTCGATTATTTTAATACTTCGCAATCCCAGCTTCGATCAATATTATTTTTATGCAGTATTAATGACCTCAATTAATTCCGGTTTATTATTAAATTTAATCAAAATATTCGACTATGCAAGTATTAATTCATTTTTATTAAAATATATATTATTACCAGATTGATGAAAAATCTGTTGATTTACTCACCAGTATTAACCAGTATTGATATTAATAATTAAAAATAATAAATCGGAAAACACATATAAAGTGTGATTAGTTATTATGATAATATAATTAGAGAAATAAATAATTATTATGTGTTTTTTCTATAACTGAAATGGAATAATACTATCATATTTAATTAAAATCTGTTTATTTACTCAAAAGTTGTTAATTGGATAATATGATATGGATTATGAATTTAATGTTTAATGCACTAATTATATAATTATTTAGAATAACTGTGTCAATATGTTATAAAAATATAAGACTACGACAAAGAATGAACAATCTCATGTTTACATAATTGGCATAATAATTAACTATTTTGTTTACTAGATTTAATACAAATCTTCCACTAATTTGGCATAGTCTATGAACTAAATGTTTAATAGACTTCTTATTAAAGAAAAAAAGTATTGACAATTGAGGCAATATAAGTAAAAACATATATGCAAGTGAAATTTAATGTTATACGTACATTTTGTTCTTATCCAATCTTGATGAAATTATTGAAGTTTTATTTTTGAATTTTCAAATAATAAGTCATCTATATAATAAGACATGATTTAAACTAACTAATATATAGTTATATGTGATAAGCTTTGATTACTATTAATGTAAATAACTGCTGAATGTTATATACAGCATTATCTCACATAGTTTGTCTTCGATCAGTCCGAATTCACTATAGTCCGGTTTGAACATTTAAAAAAATCTAATTTAATAAAGCAAAATAAAAATAAATTCTAGAAAATAAATTTATTTAGACATAAATGATTTCTTGTTGTTTGGTTTATGTATTTAGTTAATTGATTAGTCCGGTTTCAAATAGTCCGGGATATTATTGGAAATGATTTACCGGACTATACGAATTATGTATACTCAATAAATTAAAGTTATTTATTAAATAACAACGAAATCAAGATTAAACTATAGTTAGAAAACAGTTATTTGATTTATTCTTTGTTATTAACTAAAAACTATGTTTTATACAAATTACATTAGATTTTCTATTTCAATTACTATTACTATTTCATTTTTTCTAATATAATTTATTATTCATCAAAGTTTATGTTAGATTTATTATAAATATTCCATTTGATATGTATATCTTCTGCAGAATGTAATATTGCAGGTGCCGTTGGAAGATTTAGAATGTGCCTCGAGGTTACTTGTCGAAGCATTGAAAATCAGACAAAGGTACATGAAGTTATCACATCAGGCGTTCGCTGCAACAACTGCAAGATTTATGAACCCCGATGGCGATAACAACCAGCATCACGACGATAAACAGACAATCGAAGGTAAGCTGTTCCAGAATTCCTGTAAATTTACCCAATTAACAACGTAGTTAGTGCATGGGAGGGTTACTTCGTTCCAAAATTGTTATGAATTTACCTTTTAATTTGTATAAATATTTATTGGAGAATTTTACTGAAAGTTATTCAATTCTATTCAAGTTAATTGGTTAAAAGCCTAAAGAGAAGTAACAAGTTTGGGAAGTTTAAAAAAGTAGTTTTTTTGTACAGGACGGTGGTAGTTGCCTGTACGAAATTATATAACTATTATTTAGATTATATTTAGTAAGATTTTCAGCTTTTCTTTCCCTTTTTTTGTGCATGTTATGTAAAAATTGTAATTGTCAGATGCGAGGACTGGAGAGGCTAGAAAAAACATTAACGACTACGCCATGAAGCAGTCACATAGTGATGCGGTGCTGACGCGTATCTTAAGAGATTGCACTTCGGAAGGTAACATCCTTATTAATCAAATAAACTAATGAACCAAAAACGTTACACAAGAACGAACAGGACAGGAACAAATCAAACCTACATCTCGAAGTGTGGCTCAGCCTGATTATATAATACTACCACTACCATCATTACTACATCTGTTTCTTTGATAAAAACATAATTGTTTAATTATTTATATATTTTAAAATTATATTAGATATATAGACTTAGATGAATATAAAAAGCTTTATTAATTTACGTAATAATTGTCTTTCTGGATGTCTCATCTGTCTAATAGATTTGTTTGTTAGCTAATACTATATCAATTATCATTGATGTTAATAATTATAAATTAAAATAATTATACATGATTTCTTCAAATATAAATGATGTAACTGTAATATTCTCAGAAAATATTGCATATGATTTTACTATATAATAATAACTTCAAAAAATACATTAAGGATATGTTTAAAATTATTAATGATTTTAGTGTTTATAATATCAAATTGTTGAAAATAGATGATGTTAATAATAAAATGACACATAATTTGACTGTCAATAAAAATGTTGATAGTTCTAGATATTAGATTCAGCTAGATTCTAGAATACGTGCATTTATTTATAGCAGTGATTCCCAAAGTGGGCGCTACCGCCCCCTGGTAGACGCTGCAGCGATCCAGGGGGCGCTGAGTAATATTTTTTATGGGAACCACTGATTTATAGAAATAAATTATATTTTATAATATTTTTATTATGAGTATAAATGCCTTGCCGTAATAAAAATATTAAGCAAATGATATGGAAATGAAGCGGCGAAGTAATTCAAGGACACATTGATCGTACTCACAAATTACATTAACTTCCTGACTTCATAATAATCCACTACACGTTGCATTTAAATGATTTAATGTGGTTTTGTGAATAATAATTGCATTTTGTATAAATTAACAATTGCAAAGACAAAGTAACAACTGACTGAAGTACTTGAAAATGAAAGTTTTTATTTTTTTAAGATACCGTTTACATTAACTTTGACTTACAACGTTTTAATCATTGTATTGTTATAAAGTTTATATCTTTTTTTAATCGAAATTTTGAATTTGATATTAGAGCACGGAATTCATCCACCATCTGGAAGTGCCAATCCATGGGAGGCTCCGAATATACCGGACACTGAACACGTATTTGAATCTCATGAAGGAGTTTTCCACATCTACGAGAATGCCGAAGCCTTGGAACTGAATAATCCTTGCGATTTTGCATACCCAGATTTGGACACCTTCGTCACAGACATGAATAACATGTGTAACATGATTGCTGATGGTCCATTGTAATTATAGAATATCATCAATTTTAAGTTGAGTTTAATTTGATTGTGTTGTAGGAAATCATTTTGCTATCGTCGTTTGAGTTATTTATCCTCGAAATTTCAACTTCACGTCTTGTTGAACGAGCTCAGAGAGTTGGCCTCGCAGAAGGCGGTGCCGCACAGGGATTTCTACAACATCCGTAAGGTTGACACGCACATCCACGCCGCTTCATGCATGAACCAGAAGCATTTGTTGCGTTTCATCAAGAAAACTTTGAAGAATCACGCCGATGAAATTGTCACCAATAACAATTCCAACCCGATGTCTTTAAAGGAGGTGTTTCAGGTGCGTTACCACTTTGCAAGTACTTTGATTCCTTTCCAAAATCCTCCCTTTTCTTCCTTGTAGAAACATATCATCAAAAATGGTGAAATTTTGAACTGTTCCGATTTGCTTGCGGTAAGCTCCTCGTTTACCCCGAAAATCCTCAAAGTGCTGCACGATTTTTTTAAGAATATCCTGAACGTTAATCATTTGCAGTCGATGAATCTTACCACCTACGATCTGACAGTGGATATGCTTGACGTTCACGCGGATCGCAACACTTTCCATCGTTTCGACAAGTTCAACGCCAAGTACAATCCGATCGGGGAGAGTAGACTGCGAGAGGTCTTCCTCAAGACAGACAACTATTTGGGAGGAAAGTACTTTGCCAGGATCATCAAGGAAGTTGCAAGTGATTTGGAGGAATCGAAGTACCAGAACGCCGAGCTGAGGCTCAGCATTTACGGAAAGAGCCGCAATGAATGGGATAAACTTGCCAAGTGGGCCATAGAATCCGATGTATATTCCGATAACGTCCGTTGGCTCATCCAAATTCCCAGATTATAGTAAGCAATTAATTATGCTTTTATTCCATATATTAATTTAACTTTTTCTTTAACAGCGACATATTCAAATTGAATAAGATGATGTCCAATTTCCAAGAGATTCTATCGAATATATTTTTGCCTTTGCTGGAGGTAACGGCTCGACCATCTTCTCATCCGGAATTACACAAGTTTTTGAAGTACATCATCGGATTCGATTCCGTTGATGATGAAAGTAAACCCGAGAATCCTTTATTTGAGAAGGACATTGCTTCTCCTGAGAAATGGAGCGATGAAGAAAATCCACCTTACGCTTATTACCAGTACTACATGTACGCAAATATCGCGGTGTTGAACCATTTCAGAGCTGAAAGGGGCTTGAACACTTTCGTTCTGAGACCTCATTGTGGCGAAGCTGGACCCATTCAACATTTGGTTTGTGGTTACATGCTTTCAGAGAACATCTCGCATGGTTTGCTCTTAAGAAAAGTACCCGTTCTTCAGTATCTCTACTATTTAGCTCAGATTGGAATCGCTATGAGTCCACTATCCAACAACAGCCTATTCTTGAACTACCACCGTAATCCTTTACCCGAATACCTGGCACGTGGTCTTTGTGTTTCATTATCCACCGATGATCCTCTTCAATTCCACTTTACCAAAGAACCCTTGATGGAAGAGTACAGTATTGCCGCTCAAGTTTGGAAATTATCCAGCTGTGACATGTGCGAATTGGCAAGAAACAGCGTCTTGATGTCTGGCTTCCCTCACAAGATGAAGCAGTATTGGTTAGGTCCAAACTACACCAAAGAAGGAGTCGCCGGTAACGATATCTCGAGAACAAACGTGCCTGATATTAGGGTGGCCTTCCGCTACGAGACTCTTCTTGACGAACTCAACAATATATTCAAAAACCACCGCTAAATCAAAAATAACCTTATATATTCTTTTTTTTATACAATCATATATAAAGTGAACCAAACCTATTATTTTTTTCCCCTCGATCATTTTCTTTCTGTTGTTATTCTTTCATTTCAGTTCCAAGGTTGTGCGTTTGAATTATTAATAATGTTAAGGCAAATACACGGGTTGTGTATGCAAATATTTATATTAATGTGACTTGGGCGCATTTCAGCATACGACGTTCTAAATGAATGACCAATATAATTGTAGATAATAAATTTGAAAAAAATGAAAGTTTATTATATAAATGCATTCTAGTTGAATTCAAATATAAAGGAAAAAAACGTGAATCAAGTGATAATAATGAATTGTATAGCATTCGATGTTCTGAATATTTCTGTATAACAATAATTATTAATAGAAGATTAATCACATATATTTTAGATGATTACACGAAATAACAAAATCAATTCTGATATGAAAATATTACTATTATATACTATATTATATTACAATCATTCAAATAATACTTGATAGAGCTTAGGATGAATGAGTGAGATGACTTTTAACCTTGTATTTTTATTGTCTATATGAAACGAATATTTAATAAAATGTTTTAGAAAATTAAGAAATTAAATTATTTTTAGCCCTTTATCCATTTAATTATTTACGAAATATTTGCAATATAGTAACTTTTGAAGTTTAATATCGCCATTTATTAAAATATAAAAACTTAACACTTATAATTTGCATAGTCAGAAAAATAACCAAATTTTAAGTGTGATAATATTACTTTTTTTTACAAAATATATTTTGGTATTGTTTTAACCAACCAACGTCAACAACGTAGGTTAACAAAAAATATTAGGGAGGCCGGAAAGTAATTTCGTTCCTGCTCATGCAATATTTGTTTATTATTTATCAGACCATTGTGTACATCAAAGCCAAAGACATTTTAACATTAAAAACTTTTTTCTTTTTTGCAATTTTGGGTGAAATGGCAAGCCAGAAGATTACATATCCGGCATTGTATGCTTCTCGAGTTTCGCAAGAATAGTATCGCAACAGTTGCTACCGAAAATAATTGCAATGTTTATCCAAGTGCATTAGACGTCCAGAAATGTTAAAGGTGGTTCAAATCCGAAACTTGATCTCTTCGACTCGTAACGATAAGGAAGACCAACAACTTTAGACATGACATGTTAAGGGCGGAAGTGGAAGCAAATCCTTGTCCGACAATCGATGAACTGTCAAACACTCGTAACAAACTTTGGTCAACCATCCAAGAAAATTTGCAGCAGATTGGTAAAGTATGCAAAGCAGTTGTTTGGATCTCACATAATCTGTCCGAATAAATAATACAAAATGCAAAAAGCAGTAGGTTCAAATCCCAAAAAGCGCTTTTGTGTGTTTGGTGGACTATTCACGGAATTGTTCATTTTTAAATGCTTAAACTGTGTATGGATAACTTTACTGTGAAGTCGAGAAAATCAAACTTTAATTGAAAAGTGTCCAAGGATTGTCAGTAGAAATGGCGTCATTCTGTAATGCAAGATCTCACTGCGTAAGATAAACCTTGGACAAAAAAATAATTAATTGGGATGGGAGGTACTGCCTCACCCACTGTATTCGCTCCACATTGCACCATCGGATTTCCATTTATCCCGATCAATACAACACTTTATATGTGACAAAAAATGGGATGATGTCTAAAATGCCATTCATTTGATATTTTGTTCAATAACTAATTGATTTCTATCGATCCACCATTGAAAATGTGCACACTATATGGAAAAATGGTTGCTTATAAGGGTGGTTACATCATTGATTAAAAATAAAAATTAATTAAAAATTTATTTGTTTGAATTTAATGTAAAAAAGGCAATAATTTCCGATCTCCCTAATAGTTCTATAATTACTAACTATTCCTATAATATTCTTTATATTAAATACCTTTAAGGCAAAAAAAAAACCAATAAATAAATTTACATTTGTCATTGCACAATATGTATATATGACTAAATGAAAGAATATTAAACAATTTTGATACGCAATACTGATTAACATAATGATTCCTGTGTGAAGTAAATTTCAATGCCAAAAAATAAATATTCGATATTACCTTGATTATTGTGCGTAAAGTATAAAAACATTTTACGCAATACTAATTAGCATAATTAATCTTGTCTGCACCAAAAGTAGTTCATCACAATCGATTTCAATGCCAAAAACTGACTATTCGATTTTAACTAAATAATCGATATTACCTTGATTATTATGCGTAAAAGATAAAATTTAATAGACATAAAACAAATAAAGATTTATTTATTTTAATAAAATATAAGAAAGGGAAAATACATAATTTAAACGTTTTTTTTATAAGGTTACGGCAGTGTCCTTGCACCCAGACAGAACGTACTTCTTGGAAATATGTTTAATAACTGGATGTTTCTTAAGATATATTTCTCACTTATTCTGACGGTTTCTACAAAATATGCGTTTACAAACAAGTATATGATAATTTAAATTTAAGAATTATTCTAACATTCTTAAATAGTATAAGTTGTGCAAAAAAAATACATATACAGAAATAAAAAGACCAAAATAAATATATATAATTTCAAAAAAATAAACTGATAAAAAGGGCTATTGACCACAGGTCTTTCTGCCCGAGTTATTATTTTATAATTGAATTGTTAGAAAACTCTATACTATATTTATTCGATTCTTTAATGTTTTACATTCAAATTACAATCATTTATTTTTTGTGTTAAAGATTTTTGCATTCTATTTTTGTAATATAATATGTTTATTTACAATTTATAACTAAATTTGATCGCAAATAATATAAAATGGAAAAAAATCCACGTGGATGTTAACATTATATACGTTTACGCAAATTTGTTGTGCTGTTATTAAGCAGGCTAATAGCCAGAACATTAGTATGTGATTCTAGTCGATCTTTGTATCTGATTGTAGTATTTCCTGGAAGGCCTTCTGTCGAGATGCATGTCCAAATATTAGTCTTTCGTTGATTTGGGTAACTTATATAAATTTTCTTTCAGATATTTAGATGTTACTGCTTGATATCTCTTTCAATGATAATATTTCTGTACCATCAGCAAATGTATTATTGCTAATTTAAGGAATGTCTGCCGTGTATCGAAGGTAAGCAAATATCCTAAAAGACTTCCCAGATTCTATTGTTTGTAAATCGGTGTATTCATTTTCAATGTAACAATGTTTATGTAACATTCTATTATTTAGATATAATTTTTTTGTTTCATAATATATGGCAAGTTGTCTTTAACTTATTATAGTAGACCTGGATGCCACAGTTTGTCAAATATTTGCAATATTGTTGCAAAATGCAGCAGTGCTGAATCTATTTATTTATAGGTCTTGGTCGATGGTGTTTACTAATAAATTTACTTGTTCTAATGGTATGTTTGCAACAAAAACTAATCAGTTTATTTGATGCTATTATAGGTTGAAATCGGTTAGCAAGAAGATTTCAAATACTTTTGATAACATTGTACTTAAATATGAATTAATTGTTTTCTGTTTTATATGGTAATCCTCTAATGCTTTTTTTTGTAAAGAATATCTGTTTTATTTATGTGTTTTTAATCACTGCATATTTACGTTACAAACTATATTTCATCGGTTTCTCATTTAAAACCCCGTTTTTGGAATAAATCATAAGAAACGCTTAAAAAACAACTTAATTTGACAATTTAATAGATTTAGTTATACATGAGTAATAAAATGAATAAAATTGTTAATATTCAATTATTGACTATTTGGAGCAAAAAGATATGTTTTTTCATTATGAAACTTGACTTACCAAAATATATTATTACTAATGTGCATAAAGGATTTCGTCGGAACAAATGTCATAAGAAACGCTCATAAATCAAGTCAATTGCATAATTCAAAGGTCTTAGTTTAACATTATTAATAGATGCATGATTATATATGAGAAAATATGTTTTTAAATTTATAATTTATGTACTTACCTTTTTGTTCTTTTAAATAATATTTATATATAATCAATACTTCTTATAAAAGTGTCAATCAAACATTGCAAATCGGAAAAATTTGAAGCATATTATCTGCAAGCAACAATAATCTGTATGGAGGACTAGTTTGGGCCCATATTAATTTCAGCTATATATTGTCCTCCCAAACACACCATTAAAGAGGAACATTTCAATAATATTTACGATACACTTGGATCTCGTTTTATCGTGGCGACTATAGTGCAAAACATCAGCATTCTGACTCTACGCTAGCTACAACCCGAGGAAGAGAGTTGTTGAGATTCATGGTTTCTAAATATCTTAATTACTTATCAAAAAGTGAACCCACGTACTGGCCTACAGACATAGGAAAAAATCCAGACGTTCTTGACTTCTGTGTAATGAAAGGGATATCTAAAAACTATACCAAAATCGAGCAATGCCTGGATCTCTCGTCAGAGAGTATAACAAAGTATACAGTGTAAAGTACAAAGTATAAACTGTATAACAAAGATACCGTCTGGGAATCATATAAAGCTTTAGTAACTGACAAGGTATTGCTGAACAGACCACTAAAAACAAAAGATGATCTCAACGAAGCTGTGGAACACCTAACGCAGACAATAAAAACATCTGCTCATCACTCCACACCGGAATACACAAAACAGGAAATGTATAACATTTGTCCATTTTATATTAAACGTTTGATTTAAGAAAAACGCAGACTTAGAAGAGTATGGCAAAATAATAGACTCCCAGAAAATAAAAAAATCTTAAACAGAGCTGCATCTCAACTTAAAAGGCTGCTTAAAAGCATGAAAAATGAAGCAGTAAAATAGTACTTGCTAAACCTGACGTCCACCGAAGCAACATATTATTCCTTCTGGAAAGCTACAAGAAATCTGAAAGAACCGCAGAAAAAGAATCCCGCCCATACGAAAAGACGACGGAAATTGTGCAAGAACATCACGTGATAAAGCAGAAATGTTCGCAGATCATTTTAGAACAATCTTTAAACCACTTCCAGCGCAACTCGCAACTTTTAAAATAATAAAATCATACCTCGATAATAGAATGTTTGAGGTAAGAATAGAATTATATCCAATAGAATCAGGGGTGCCACAGGGAAGTGTTTTAGGACCACTGCTTTACCTTCTATACACGAAAGATATTCCTAAAACTAACAATACTACGATTGCTGATGACACAGCAATTTTGGCATCAGATGAGAATCCAGCAGTAGCATTCGAATATCTACAGGAAAAATTAGATAAGCTACAAGAATGGATTAAAAAATGGAGAACAGCAGTTAATGAAATGAAATCCGTGCATATCATATACTAAAGAAAGACAATGGACAAGATCTGCCCAAAGCAACAAAAGTCAAGTATCTAGACAGAAGATGTATCACCTGGAAAGATCACATTCAGGCTAAGAGTGAGCAATTAGAAATAAAGTTTAGAAAACTCTACTGGCTTCTAGGGAAAAGGTCGGAATTATTAGTGGAAAATAAATTACTTATATAGAAAGTAATACTGAACGTATGGAATCCAATTGTGGAATGCGGCTAGTAAATCGAACATACAAATTATACAAAGGTTCTAATTAAAATGCCTAAGAAATATTGGTTCGTCAGGAATAAAAAAATACACAAAGGTGTTCATATAGATATGGTGAAGGATACAATAGCAACATTTAGTAGTATATACCAAGATAGACTGGAGTCACATAGTAATGTTCTGGCTATTGGCTTACTCGACAACAGTGAAACTACAAACAGGCTGAAGCCTGAACCACTAGATTTAGATTTAAGTAATTATTAAAAAACATCATAATGGTAGCTATCCACCGGAAAAGATTATCCATTCAATTTCATATTCATGAACAGATTGTGAATAAAATTATACGACATAAAAATAAAATATAATCAATATTTTAACGACTCTGAAAACATTCATTATCAAAATTTGTTTTCAAGAATCTCATTTTCCCCGATAATAAGAAAATATCTAGATGTCACTTTTTGCCTAAAAAATTTAAAATCATAACTTTATATACATTTTTAATTATGTATACACTATTTTGATCTATTCACATATCTTTATCTTTCACGAAACATAAACATTTCATCCTTCCAGAATTTATAAGGTTTTTCATCAAAAAAACATAAAACTATTTAACGTTCCTGAAGTTAATGGAATATTGGAGAAACAATTTTGAAAGGACGGTCGTGGATTGTATTACTAGCAGACCTGAAATCTCCACCTCTAAACTTAGTGAATTACTTTCACCCAATTCTTAGCTTTTAACTAAAGTAACTTTTCTTTAAGTAGGATATTTTTCCTTTTCAGTAATAGACACAAATCATTTGATCCGGACCAAAAGACAATTTTTTTGATATAATTAGTCATCATCAATGACACATAGCGAAGATAGGCACGAACTTTCCAGTCAACGTAGTTAACAGTTTACACATAATATTTTATTATATTATAAACATACATATTTTCTTTATATATACTTACTCGTAAAATACGTATCAATAATTTATTTGCTACTTTTTACAAACCTTTTTCTTTATAAGTAGTAAATTATGCGAGAAAACCCATGCATAATTCAAGAAGTTTTTGTCTTGATTGTATGAAATAGATTTCATATTCAAAATTTATTATCTTCAATATTGTTTTTTTGGGATAATTAATGAAAGATTTCTTTGAAATATCCGAAGAATTGTATACGTACCTGTGGTGACCACAATTTATGCGTCTGTATGTTAGAGTAAATAATTTATTGGATTCTCTTTGCAAATACATTTTTTAATACGTTATAAATTGGTATCAATATAAATATAATAAGAAACTTCAATTGATTAATTCAATAAAAGATTATACAAGTTTATATGATTATATAATGAAATAGTTGTATTACGAAAAAATAAATTGCATTTTCCTTGAAAATATATTATCTTAGATTATGAATGAATGAATAATAAATCTATATTCTATATATTCTCTATTTTATTGGAATATCTATATATACGTTTTTTACGTAAATTCACAACTATAATGATAATGATTCAAAGTTTTACATTTGTCGGTTTTATTCAAATCTCTTCCAGAAAGTATTTTTCTAATAACGTTAATTTTGACTGCTTTGACATTATTAGAATACAGTTGCAACATATACTATAGAAATTTTATAAAGTGATACTCTTACCTGGAGTTTTAAATTATGTACTATAACGAGTTTAACTAGATAATAAGATCATATTTAAAATGTTTCATATTATATATATTTTTTAGGATATAAAACAATCCATATTTTATTTACAAAAAATATGTTAATACGAATTTTTAAATTATTGAGATATGTTCTTGGAATATTATATATGGTTGATAAATAATATTGTGAATTCTCTTTGCAAATTCTTATTCTTATTATAGCAAATACAATAAAAAACTAAACATAATTTCATTTAAAAAAAAACTTGATTATACAATTTTTTTTTATTATCTTATTTCAAAAACATAAAATTGTTTTTTTTAATATTTGATTTAGACCTAACTTTATGAAGAAATATACACTTACCTGCTGTGTTCATAATTAACACTTTCGGACCTACCTGCGGCATTTTCCAGCATAAAACACTTGGCGTTTTGTCTAGTTGGCGATAAAGAAAATATGTTTGTTTTTATTTATATGATGATGCAGTTTTATGGAATATTAAAAAAAAGTTTTAAAGAAACTTAAAGAAAATAAACTTGCAAGTGCTCGATTCAGATGTAGAATACGAAAATCAAAATTTACATAAAAATAATGAAATTGACGAAGACATTGAGGAAAAGTCAGATGAAGATCAGCAAGAAAATTAAGATTATGAACGACTGTGTTGATGATAAAGTTCCTGTGAATGACATCAGATATGATAATCTTGGTTATTGGTCAATACTGGTAGGCTATGAACAACAGTGAACGTGTGAAGGGCGTTCGCAGACTTTTTGTCTATCCAAATTTAAAAATTGTTTAAAAAAAATCAATTTTCAATATAATTATTTTTATCTGTTAAGCCTGATGGTGGCTTTTATCTTAAGAAACACACTTATATCTTTACAGTCGCATAAATCAAGAGACGTTTTACATAATTATTCATTAAAATAAATTATTTTTCCTATTTATAATTTATTATGTAACATGTTGTTTCTAACATATTTTCTTTCTTAGTACTTTCTTTCCTGTTATTTTCATAATTTACACGTCTGTACGTTATTATAATATTTCTTTCATAAGTAGTAAATAATAAATAATAATTGTTGTAAATTAATAAAATGTTGAATTTACGAACTAGTTGAACTTGATTATAAAAAAGAATTAAATCGTTTTTACATTTAGAATATATTACCTTACATAATGTTTGTTTTACGATATTTTATTCAAGTGACCTTTAGTATATGTTTTTTGGAATAAATAAATTCGTGACAATAATGATTATCAATCACACCTTTTACTTACTTTAAATTTAAAAAGAGTTCTCAAGTTCATAATTTTATATAACACGTTGGTTTTAAGAAATTTTCTTCAAGTAACTAATGTGTCTTTTCATTACAATCAATATTTTATTAAATTTTCTTTACAAACACGTAGTTTGTAAATAATAATTTATAATTATTGTGAACGTAATAAGTTTAATTTGATTATTCATGATATTTGAAAATATCAAAACAAATTAAATTTTAATTGAGCAAAATATATTCTAAAAAAATAGTACTCATAATTAGTCTAGTTGAAACCGGGACAGTGATGGAATTTATTACCTGGACTATTACCGAGGTATATCTATATTTAAAATGTATTATCATTTTGTTTTTTAGCATATTTTATTCGAATTGGAATTTGTTTACAAATATTGTAAATTTTGCAATAATAATGACTTGGATAGGAAAAACCTATGGTTAGTAACCATTTGTAACGGTTTTTGTTTTTGTGCAATAAATATTAATATATATTGTTTGAATATATAACAATAATAACTCGCATAATTCGATCAGTCCGGATTCAGTATAGTCCGGTTTGAAAATTTCAAAATATACTAAATTTTAATCGCACCATGCGTAGTATTGCTGGAATTTATTATCTTTAAAAATGCATTCAAATATTTTGTTTATGCATTTTTCTTTAAATAATTATCCTATTTATAATTTATTATGTAACATGTTGTTTCTTAAGTACTTTCCATGGAATGTGATTTTCCTATTGTTTTCATAATTTATGTCTTTACGTAAAAATCAATATAATGGAATCATTTTGCGTTAATGACAATTATTTTTTTATGTATGATTATCGAACATATTTTTAAAATATTTTTGGATATTTGCTCAAAATTTCTTTCGCATTTTCAAATAAATATGCGCATAATGTATACGTCTTTGCATTACAATCAATAGTTTATTGGTTTGTTTTTGAAACAAACATGTATATTTTTTTGGAATAAGTAAATCGCAAAAATAATTATAATGATGCGAACTTGACGTCATCCTTCAGCTCGCGGAGGATTGACGTGAACTTGAAAAGGAATGTGCAAATGCGTGCGTACTTACACTTCTGTACTTCGCAAAGCGTTAAGACAGTTTGCGAATCCTACAAGGACAAGCAGACATCAGGATTCCCATTCAGCAAACGATTTTCCCTCCTTGTCGCATTTAAATACGCTCAAGAAAAATCGTTGGCTTCAGAGTGATCGCCGCATTAAGTGCATGCCCACTTATCCGACGCGAGTCTAGTTATCATCATCACTATCATACTCTTCTTCATAATAATCGTTATTAAGAAGAGAGAACAAATTATATATGATGATTGCGAATGCGAAGATTGTTCTTCTGGTGTCATTTTTCCATGTGATATGTGGCAGCTATGACATTTCCGAGAGGATTTTGTTTCCCAACTTGCCGAACGCAGCTCCCCGATCCGAGAATAAAGTTTGCAGGGAGGAAAGTCAAACTTATATTGCCAATTTGAATAATATGACTTTATGGGCACATCAAAGTAAGTCAAAATAATATAATATCATCTAAAAATGGATAAATGAAAAACATTAAATAAATAAATAAATAAATAGCTGAAAATTACAGAACAGTCAACAGTCCAAAACATTTTCAATCACAACAATAATAAAATAAATAAAACAAAAAAGATTAACTGCTACTAAGATCTATTTGTCCTGTATGAAATATATGTAGAGTAAATATATTATTCAATTTATTAAATGCATACGTTTTTTTACAATCTCAATAATGACAATGAAAAAATCTAAAAAAATACGGGGAATATTTCCGATTTAATTTAAAAAAATTTATAATTATTTTTGTATTCAAAAGTTAAAGAAGATATTTTTTAACAACAAATAAAATTAAGAAATTTCTTGATGTAAATAATAAATTTATTTCAACATGTTTCATCACATTAAATAAATAGGTTTATAATTTATATTTAGAATCTAAATATGAAAAATATTTCTTAGTATAATTTATAAACATATTGAATAAATTAATTAATTAGATATTTAGACAATTTTAAGAATTCAAAGTTACAAAAGTCACATTTTTATAATAGTTTTATTTAAATAATGAGTATAAAATCCTTTTGTACTTTTACTGTTTGTGTTACAAATATATAATTTCTATCCGCTTGAATTCATTTTATTGTATAAAGTTTCCAGTAAATCCTATAATATAATATAAGTCTATATTAATTCTAAAGAAAACATATGTATTTCATTTCCTTTACGCAATTTCCTTTATATGTTGAATGGACATCATCTATCCAAAATCATGCATAAAACAAAAAAAAATGTAAATAAACTTTTTAATTAATAAAAAGTTCGTATATTTAATAATAATAATTGAAAAAACAAGAATTAACAAATATTATTAATTTTTTTTTAATTCAATAGCTTACAATAGCGTAAAAAAATATTCATCAAATGCATATATAAATAAATCAATATGTTCTATAGTGCGGGTAAAACTACATTTAAATAGAACATAAATTATAAACTATTATTTATGTATAAGAAGTAATTATTTTTTTTCTGAATTTATTTATTTTGCTCAATTAAAATTTAGTTTATTTTAAAAATGTCAAACCGGACTATACTTAATCCGCATTGATTAAAATTGCAATATGCAAGGTAGTGTATTATATTTACATTACATAATTATTTGTTATTAAGCTTTACAAAAGTCATGCAAAATTACTTATGAAAATGTTTATCTCGCAAAACATGTATATATATAATTAACGCTACTGAGACAATCATAGATAACTAAGAATTAAATATGTATTTGTCATGAATTACACAACATTATTAATGCTGAATGTAGATGTAATCATCAATGGCAATAATAATTGGCATAAAAAATAATAGTTTTAAGTGCAATTATAGGAGAAACAACAGTGTTGATTTAAACAATATTCGTGACTTTTCGTGAGAAAAAGTAATTATTTTCATTTAAAATTCAATTAATTTAATGAAATTGAATTAAGTTTAATAATAAATATTTACTTGTTTACTTATTTTGTCTTTTGTTACAAAACTATTATGTATAGTAAAATATTCATATATAAAGTGGAAATTCGCTTAACGAGCTTTCAACCAGATTCTTTCTTTTGTTTTAATTTAACTCTTCAAAAAATGATTATAAATATTTATTTAAATATATAAATATTTATTTGAATGTCTTTCCGTCAAATATAAATAAATATACGCGTAAAGAATAATTCATTGAATGTTCATTTAAGAAATTTACATGTTTTATGAAAATATTTATAAGATTTAAGCAAAGCAGAAATTATGAAAAAAAATATTTTTTTTTATAAAATATGTTTTAAGCAAAGGTAAACTTGTAAATGAAATAAAAATAATCAATTTATCTTAATTAATATACTATTTAAAATAGGAAATTAATACAAGTATCAACCTTTCGAGGAATTCTCGATACAGGATTTATAGGTTTTACTGGAAATGGAGAGATTGCTTTGTTGAATGTATATGGAAATTGCAGAAGAATCATTCATTAAATATGCCACGACTTTACGGATACAAATTAAAGAAGAAACAATGATAGTTTGTCGATCCTTTCCGTTAAGTATTTATCACGCTTTATGTTTTCCTGAAACTTATGTTGCTAGGTGTAAATAAAGAAAATAGTTCACACATTATACAAATATATTCAATGTTTTGCACGTGCGAAATGATTCATTTTATTTTACTTATCAGAATATAATTAATAAATTGAATATAATTTACATTGTTGAAATAAATTAACATCATAGAAGACAAAGAAAAAGTTTATATAAATTGTTAAAAGAAAATAATTTCTGAACTTGTATAAGATATGTTAATACAGTCATTATTCAGATAACGAAGCTATGATATATCAAAATACGCAATTTCAAGCACCACTTAACATAAAATTATTCCTATTCTCTAAAATCATCAGATAGAATATAGTCAGAAGTTGTATTAGAAAAAGAAAATTATTTCCAAGAAATTGTAATTGAAGTTATAAATTTGTTGAGTGCAGAAGATGATGGTTTTCAGTGGAAGATATAGCGATGAAGATAAAGAAAATTAATAAGTTCTTTTTAACAACCAAAGATTTAGATGATGCTTAAATTACAATGAAATGTTTTATATTTTTTAATGAAGTTTTATTATTAAAAATCAGTGTTAAATGTAATAACTTCATATAGGTAAATCTTAGATTGAAGAGAAAAGTAAACACAATCGAATGTTTAATTACTCTATGTAAATTTCATTTTTTTTTATAAAAGAACGTCCCATCCTGACAAAAATATTTTACCTCTGAAAACGAAGTTTCGCTTAACAAAGTAATTTGTGGAATGCATGTTATTCGTTAATTGAGTATTGTATGTATTATTATTCTATATTTAAATATCATTTACATTAAAGACATTTTATCCCGATTTTCGTAAAATTAAAAAAAAAGGTTTTTAAACAACACAGAATCAAAAAGACAAATGCGTTTTTTTGTGATGTTTTTGATAGAAATTGATGTATCGATCACAGTTAACAACGATTTGTATATATATATTCCAGTATTTTCGTTTTTATTGTATTATATAGTTTATGGGGTGCCCTTGATTAGAAATAAGAACAATCGTAGAGTCATAAACATCAGTTACAAAACTTCAGTTTTATGACAAGTGGTAGAGTGTTGGTTCTCGGAGAGCCACATTAAGAAAGTTGTGGGCACTAAAAACCAGTTAGTCTTACATTTTTTTATTTGAGACCCCTATAGATCTGCTACCCCCCTCATTTCCCCCCATCATCTCAGATATAATGGAAGTATAATTTAATAAAAGTCAAAGAAAATGTTTATATTTTTTACTAAATAATAATAAAAAAAACTTAATTCTAAATACATGCAAATAATATATTTGGAAATCCGATTGTCTAATGAATACCTCGGATGGACAAATACAACTTTATCAACAATTTTTGATGAGTAATTTTTTTTTTCAATCTTTATTTATTAATCTGCCAAATTCTGGAAATCATGGCCATAGCATAAAAAGAAAATAAAAAAGGAAAACAAAATAAAAATAGACAGAGAGCGGAATGATTTTCCATAGGAAACCTTCCAAATAAAAGAAATATGAGGGCTGATGTTGTCGTGATTTTTGATCGTTAAATTGTGCAAAATTATTATATCTTAACGGCTTACATTTAAACACGAATAGTTCGTTAATAGTTGTTTTTGATATCGTGTTGTGTGGGTTATTCCAGATGAATGTCTTGATTTCATTATTATTACTATCAGAACTTTAAGGCTGAAATTATCAGCTCTAAATTTAGAGAATTACGTTCCTAAAATTTCATTTAGATCAAGCAAATTCTCCGTAAGCAGAATATATGTTACTTATTACTTTAGTGGCATTTTTGGCTTTACAGTAATAGAAAAGTATCAAGGTCTAAAATGCACGTTGTCTGAAGATGGAGTACTATATGTGTCAGTTTCATTTGATCCAAACCAATCTTATTTTTTAAGATAGTTGAAATCTCACTTTTTAGAATATATTGTTAATTGTTTTTACCAATGGTACTTAGCGAAAATCGGCACGAACATTCCGGACAACCAATAAAATTATTTCTCTTGAGGAAGACATCTGTCGTTGTGGCGAAGAAAGATGCGTACTAATAATTTATAAATTCAGTTTAATAATGAAAGTTGGTAATTGGACCAATTTTTCAACATAAAGTTCAGATTATCAATTGAGCTTATTATTTATTGCAAATATTATGAGATACGTTAAGTATTATAAAAAAAAACTATTATTATAAACTATTATGAATAAAAACTTAATTTCTCATCTCAATTAACGTTTCATTGACAAAAAATACGATAGTTGTTTTCAATATTGAATAAATTATCAATGTTAAGAACTAAATTATCAGTAAGAAATGGGTTAATTGAAATTTATTTTTATTATCTTTTACTAAAAAAATTATATTTTACTATTACAAGACTTTCAGTCCCAGAAGATCCGACCTAACAAAGAAAACAAAAAAAAATGGAAAAAATATTTATATCTCAACTTAGTCTTCTTTTAGCTCAATACATTTTTACCAGTGATGTTCAATAGCTCTGATACCCTGTTTATAGTGAGAATCGTCGAGGTCTACAAAATAGCCAGCAACCTCACTTCATTGTTTGCATTTTTTTTTATCAACAAGCCATTCTTTTTAAGTTTGGAAAAAGAAGATGGGGTAAAATCTGGCGAATATTGTGCGTGAGGAAGCAATTCAAACTTTAACTCATTGATTTTGGCCATCGCGATAACGGATGTAAGAACGTCAATATGCGATGTACAACACTTTTTGATATACCTACCGTACCTGCTAGCTTGCGCACTTTCAGTCTACGGTCATTCAATACTATTTTGTGGAATTTTTTCACCTTTTCTGGCGTAGTCACCTCATTTGTTCGTCCACTACGATGTTTGTCTTTGCAGCTTGTAAGATCTCATTTAAAATCTGCCATCAAATATTTTTTGTTGTAAAGGAAGGAGCAGACCTCCTTTTAAATGAAACTATTGTATCACATAATAATGACCAATTTTTTCAATGTTTTCAAATCCACTGACAGCGTTCACTATAGATGGCTGTCAAACGAATCCTTAACAACGTACCGCCTTCAAAGTTAAGTTTTATAAGCTTGGTTCTTTTGATCATAGTAATTTTTATTCAAATAAAAACCGTCATTTATACGTCTTATTATTGTGTAAGCAGATTTTAAGATCTTTTTATATTAAATTCGACTTCTTTTAGATTATCATGTTATTATTCTATGATTGCATAATTAGTAAATGATTACAACTAGTTATCAATTAGTTATACTTGCTACATTAACATTGAATCAAATACAAAAATAGCACTTGTTCTGCAATGTTTCAAAGAACAATAAGCATCGCGCTTACATTGTTCGCAGAAATAAGCACAATATATTACAGACTTGAAGGAATAAAGAAGATGATTTCATTCATATAAAATTTAAATTTGGATAATTGAAAGGAAGTCGGTAATTACGTAATTGGTCGATAAATCGATCGGAAAATGTAAAGATCATGTGAAGTATATAGATAAAAGAAAAAAGTAAAATATCGAATAAAAATAAACAAACTGTAATAATAATATGGAAAAAGAGAATGAGAGAATGATTAGAATTATGTTCGTATTAAGAAGCATTCCAATATATAATTATCCCAGTCATACCTCCATGCACTTGTATATGTGAGCGTGAATGTGTGAGTGTCTGAATTTATAAACACGTTCATTACAAATACTGAGTTCCTTTTTTTGTGTTCGTTTTGCATTGCATTAATCGACGACGAAAGGAAAATCTCGATGCATAATCACTTCAATAATGATTTGCACAATTTCAAATTGAAAATAATAATAAAAAAATAGTCTGTTAATTGTATTAAATCGTGTATTCGATTTTCTTCCGTGAGCTTTAACTTACAACATTTACACGCACATAATAATGATCGTGCAAAATAATATTAATCACATGTGCATACAATTAATATGTAATATATACATTATTTAATAGTTCCGTTTTTGTATGATTTACTTCAAGATTTTTTAATTTAAATGACCTTCAAAATTTTCAATAATATTATCAAAATTCTTGAATGGATACATACAATTTTAATTACTGGACGTCCTTATTGCCCTCAAAAATAAATTTAAATTAAATGTTGTCTAATTAGGTAATGGTCAGTTTATTTGAGTAATTCTTCAGTCTATCTTTATATCTCTCACCAAACATGTATATGCTAATTTTCATTACAAACATAGTTTCCTTTTCACGGGTCTATATCGAAATACCGATCACTAAAATCCCGACAACCAAATTCCTTACAATTCCCTACATCGTGAAAATCCCGACAGGGTTGAAATCCCGACAATATCAAAATTCCGAATTTTTTTATTACTGTCGCGATTATGGTTGTCGGGATTTTTGATCAGAACCGATATTGAATATAATTTCAAAACAATAAAATGTTTATTCTAAAATGATCAATTTATTCCTTTTATACAGTCATATATCTTTTTGTGCAGTTTATTTTGTATGTTTCTAACAGTCCAGAATATTGACGGAATCGATTACACGGTATTGCTGTAGTTAAAATTTAGATAAAATCCATAGTACTTTATTTGGTTCTCTGAATATTATTTTATAAGTAATACTTTACTCCAAAAAGGTTGACGACCCAAATGTTACAACTTAAATTTGCTTTTTGTAATAATAAATATACTGTTAACTACTAATTAGTAATAATTATGCTATTAAGATCAATATAGAAGATTCGTATTTAGATAGTATTAAACTGTTGTTAAAAATCTCATATTTTTGGTTGTTTATTGGTAGTTTTTTATAATTAAACTAACTAATAATAATAATAATTTAATGGCCAGACACCAATACAAAAAAAAGTACTTTCTATAAATAAATAAATGATAATAATAAAAAACTAAACTAAACTAAATAATAATACAACTCTCAAAATAAATAAATTCTAACAAGGCTGGCCAAAGGGCTATCGACCGAGGTGTTTCCGCCCAATGAAACTAAATATTTATATGTATAAACGAAATATTTTATAAAATTTCAAAAAAGTAATTTTATGTATCTTAACGTTATTTTCTGATTCTTTCAACTATAAATATACTTTATCCAATAGGATTAATCATTTTTAATTGAACATTCTATCAATTTCTGTCTTCTGTAGAATACTTTATTATTTATATTATTTATACTTTTTTACTAGTTACAAAATTAATCGTATAATTTGTTTATTGGAAAGACATTGTAAAATATACCATAATAGATCCAAGACCTTCGTTTGCTAATAATGGTAATGTTAGGTGGAATAACAGTATAAGAAAATTACTGCAGGACAATGGTATCTTATGTAAACTAATTAATATAAATAGCTTACTTATGTGCAAGACAAGTAGTAAACGTAATCATTATACAATAAGAAGATACTTCAAACGTAAAGTTAATATTACCACATTTAACCAAATTTACCATAGTCGAAAATTTTTTTAAATTTTTCTAACAATTTTATAACTTTAATAGTTGAAGAAAATTTCATTAAATCTATTTAGATTAGGAAACTTGACACGTGTGACTTAAATGTCTTAAGCATATCGAGATTCTTAACGAGTCCAAGAGTCCTAGAGAGTCGTATGAATTGAAAAAGATTCAATTTTTTAAACAAATCATCACTAGTAATGAAAAATAGATCATTTACAATAACATCAGTCAAAAACGATCATCATCCAAGCGTTATGAATCAATATAAACAACATCAAAAGTTGAATTGCATAAAAAAATGCTATCAATTTGGTAGGATTACAATATTTTGAGCTAAATCAAAGGAATCAAACGATCAAGTCACATCTATGCAAATCCTCACATATCTTTGGAACTTGTGGAAAGTTATTGGAGCTTTGTTGGGAAGTGATATCGCATCCCGTATATAGCCCCGACCTTGTACAAACGAATTACCAACTATTTCAAAATTTGAAAAACTCTTTTTCGTGAAAGTTTTATAACTAATCATGATGACCTGAAATCGCACTTTGTTCAGTGTTTTCAGTAAGATGACAACAAAAGATCATCGAACAAAGTGAAAAATATATAATTGATTAAAGTTATTATTTTGTATATAAAAAAGCGTTTTATTTCACTGTAGAAACGCAACAGTACTTTCTTGCTGTCCCAACATTTTATTTGCCAATTCTGATGCTTTATTTTTATAAATTTCTGAGAAATTAATACTTTAATATATTTTTAATAAAATCAAAATGTCTATCAAAATACGTATGAAAGAAAGAACAAAATCTAAATTAGAGATTCTGTAGATTTTGATAAGTACTTTAGGAATATTTATATGGAAGTAGTTAAACATTGCTGAGAAATGAACATTTGAATTTGTTTATATTAAAATTTGAAGAAAATATATTTGATATTATATTTATGAGTTAAAATATGAAGAATTTGTGTATTAAGTATTAACTTAATTGCAACTTAGATCAATTAGAATTTAATTATAAATATACAATGCATTTTTAATACACATATTTATATGAGTTACATTTTTGATAAAAATGAGTGACAGAATGTTCGTGTTTCCATGCTCGAAAGGAATAAACAAACAACACCTGTACGTAATGTTTATGCAATTAATGTGGGTGCAATTAGTGTGTAATCAAATGCAAACACCTTTCGAACGGATCGACAATGGAAGAACGCAATGTGAATAAAATTACGTATTTCCTTATGTTCAATTTAAACTAAAGCAATTAATAGCAATATTATTCCATCATAAAAACGGATTGTCTTCGAAGAAACGCATCTAAAAGTATTTAAAATTATAATAATGTTTTAAATAATTATTCTATATTTTTGTGTGTGCAAAATGAAGTAAATGTTACAGTTAAACTACTTTTATAATAATTAATTCCCATGTCCTTCGCAATGATAATTAATCAGCATATGTAAATTTTTAATAACGGATGAATATGGAGTAGTAAGGTTAATGCAATTTCTTTGCTTCTGTTTCAGTTTGGGATGCGACTTCAAAATCAACATCGGGTGTGCTGAAAGGAAGTGTATTCCATTTCGGAAGTTGGGATGAGTGTTTGTCTACAGAAGGACCGTTTCGAACGCAGTATTGCTTTGCAACTATGGTAGCTTCTATTCCAGATGAACAAACGCCAAAAGATTATCTTTCGCTCAATTTTAATCCGATGAGCAACGTTCTCAAAAAGATTTATGTATGATTCATGAATGAGTCTTCATTGCAATATACTCATTAGATTTTGTATTCGTTTAGAAAACGGGAGATGTTTCGAAACAGACAAGGAATGCAGTTAATATTGGATGGTGTGTACCAGCTTCGTGTACACATATGGATCTGGAACAGTCGTTGAATCAATATTTGGAGAAGGTCGATCATCCGTTTCACGATCACAATGTGACATACTCGGCAAACGTCAATCAAAATACATGTCAAAGAAAGAACGAGATCGAAATTATAGATTCTGTAGATATTGGATTTTGGTAAGAATTTAATTTATAATTATTTTATGAGAAAAATAATCATATACAGGTAGTTTTTTACCTGTCCTTTCATGAATTATACATTCTAATATATATTCATATTGTATAGTCCGGGTAATTGGTTCCGTCAATATTCCGAACTGTTTTCAACCAGTCAATCGAGGAACAAAAAACATACAAAAAAAACGATACAAATAAACCGTACAATATAAGACTTGACTGTATAAAGAGAAATTAAAACGATCATAAATTTATAAAAAAATCATTATTTATCAAAATTCTATATTTAAATTTCTAAATGGTAAAATAGCACTAAGTAAATATCTTACTAAAATTATTATAATAAATCAATTATTATAAATTAATTTTTGTAACATTTCTATTTTTGGATTTTTCACCATTTTTATTCCGTTGAAGTTATGTCAATGTTGATTTAAAAATCGTGCATTGTTGACTTTCCTATTTTATCTTGGAACATTTGAAGGTTCATTTATATTTTATTGTGATGAAAACTTAATGTAAAATCATTGAAATTAATGAAAAACCCAGAGAATATTAGAAACAACACATCACTAACCCAATATTATATTCCCTATATAATTTAAAACTAATAATAACTAAATAAATATAAAAACAAAAAAATAAATTATGTAACTTATTGTTTAGCTTAATTTAATGAAAATCAATAAATTTAAATTCATAATATTCAGAAGATCTTGTTTCGAGATGTTCAGCTAACTGAAATCATAATAATAAGTTAAATTATTAAAAAATGAACAGATATTGTTTATATAACATTTGAAATTCATATATTGTACATCGTGTCATAAACGATAAGTTATGTCTTTGAGATTAAGTCAATGTTGACTTACAAATTTTGCAGAATGCACTTTCCTGTTTTATCTTGTAACGCATAAAGCTTCAATTACATTTTTTTGTGATTAAGAACTTGATTCCAAAATCAAAATTTTATAATATTATGTACGAAGTGTCATAAAAGAAACGTTTAAATTTTGCGCCATTTTTATTTCTTTGTTGATTTAATAATTGTACAGTGTGTAGTTTTCTATTTTATCATTCATTTTATATTGTGACTAAAAACTTAATCTCAAAGTTGTTAAAATTATTGAACAAAGAACATTAATTTTTGATTTGAAATCAAAATGCTAAATTACAATATTTGTTAGAAACATCAGTAAATTTTGAAAATTTAATTACATTATTACAAACATAATGAAAAAAATATTATTATATTGTCTTATTTATGAGTTGTTTTGCAACAAATCATTAACGTTTCTTTTTATGACAATTCGTGCACCTGTTAATAATATTTTGTTTGCAGTATTTTAACAGCAGTCTTAATTTTAATGGTTCTCATTGGGACTATCTACGATGTAAAAACGTTGAAGGAATTTGATGAAAAGGAAAAACATAAAACTGGTAATAATTTCATTATGATGAATTTGTAGGATTTGTAAAATGTAATTATTTTTTTAGGACTATTGCATAATATTGTCTTATCGTTTTCGGCTAGGAAAAGTTTCATCGAATTGCCCAGAGCCGACGAGAATAATTCTTCCCTTAAGGTCCTTTATGGAATCAGGACATTTGCTATCATGATGATCATCATGGATCATCGTTTCGGTACTTACATTTCAGGACCAATGGAAAATTTTGATTATATTGAGAAAGTTAGTATAAAAGGTTGTAAATTACTTTGTATTATTTTATAATTTGTATTTTTATTTCAGGAATATCGTTCGGTTTCTGCTTGGTTTATTTTCCATGGAGATCTTTTCGTTGATACATTTTTCATTTTAAGTGGAATTTTGGTAGCTTACGGTTTGTTGAATCAATTCAACAAGAAGTACGTCCATCCAGCTTTCATTATTCTCATCAGATACGTAAGGTAATGTACATTTCCATTTATATTCACAACATTTTTAACATTATTAAGAAAATCGTCCAAAATATATGTATATCCATAATTATTCAAAATATTACCAAATTAGACAAAAACAAAATTACAATTAAAATCCACAATAATTTTAAATTATGCGAGCACTTATTCCATTGCTCAGGATCTGAAGATTAGCCAGAAAATCGTTTGGAACCATTTGCATAACGCTGGTCTCAAGAAGAAGATCGATGTAAGGGACAAAATGATCAGAACTTTTTACTTCACCCAATATTTTTAAATTATCAAAAAACTTCACCGAAATTTACTTTAAAATTTACAATATTTTAAAATAAATACGAAACTCGACCAAAATTGATTTAAAATATTTCTTTACCAAAATTTACTAATTTATAAATTTATGAAATTCAACCAATAAGATTAAATAATAAATATATTTCTATTTATTTCAAGACTGGAAATCAGAATGACAAATATCTGAAAATATAGAAAGAGAGTTATATAAAATAGTAAATAATTCTGAGAATGACACATTTGTTTATGCACATGATTAATTTGCAATACGCAACTGGGGTACTTTGATCACCTTGAACTAGGTGAGAGGCAAAAAAATCCACAAGCGTGAAGTGATAATATTAATAACAATTGCTAACGAATAATTATTATTCTTCGCATACAAAAGTAATCGCATGCAAATACGATCCACAATGGATTCAATTAATTGATTAATTACAAGAATAATAACGAAATGTATTAAACTCATTATTAAATGTACATAACAGTTTTATATTTTATATGTATATTACAGAATAATAGTTTACTAGAAATAGAGGAACCTCGATTAACGTTGTTCGTTCCTAAGGGCTGTTCAAAAACCGAAATTATGTTCAAGAATTAATTTAATATAAATATCCATTACAATCCTTTATTGAAAGACAAATGATTTCAAAATTAATTCATGCATCAAATCGTATACAAAAAGAATTAAACTACATAAAATAATTTTTGTTTTATATACAAAGAAATAATAGAGATATTATTTCTTTATTCACTAATATTTTTTTTATTTGGAGCAAAAATGAAAAGCTACAAATTTCTAATAGTAAATTAACTTGTTTTTGAAAACGAAGAAGTTTTTTGATGGGATATTTTTTTGAAAACCAAATTGTTCGAGAACCAAAGTAATTTTTTTTTAAAGGAAAATTATATTTGATTAATCGACGCAATTTTCATGTCACCCTTTTATTAATACTAAAACAGAAAAATATTTTTTTTAAATAGTTTATGAAATAATTAAATACAAAGTAAATTCGAGTTCACTAAATATCTTTAAGTTAATGACTACTTTTCCTTTTAGTTTCATTATTTTATTTTATTTTATTTGAAAAAATATAATTTATTATATATACAGAATAAAATTTATCAATTATTATTTCTAATTAGTAAGACAATAAAAATAATTTCAATTACAAAAATATAACTATAATTCCTTGCAAGCAAAATTAATCGTATTCAAATGAGAATTATAGAACGCATTTGCATCTCATTAATTTTGTTTGCGAAGAATTATAATTATAGATTTTTTTTTGCAATTATTATTAATATTATCATTCCATAATTATAACAAAAAAACGCGATGCACAAACAAAATATGAATAAACAGATCGAATCATCGTAAATGTACAAATAGAATTTACATCGTGTAATTAAATTTGCACATATTTCCATATAAAAATACTTCGGAGAGATTCGATTGACGCGTATTTTTTGTTGTTTAGATTTATGATGATGATGATGTTTGTACTACTTCGAGCTTTTGATTGTAAATGGCATTACGTACACGCATTTAAATTCAATTCTTTTCGCTCTTAATTGATTATTATTTTACGTCAGATTTAAATTTGTATTTACGTAAATATAATACATTTGCCGTCATCTACTTCGTGAATGCAGATGACGATTGATCACTCCTAGAATATCGATTATGTAATATAGTTTTTATAATGAATTTATCATTTGTCACTTTTCGTGATGTTTTCATTATTTCTATTAAAAACTGTAGTTTTATTTATGCAATATTCTAACGATTTTTTTAATGCAATATTATTACATTTCTTAAATTTTAATCTTTTTAATTAATCTCATTATAAGAACAATATTTATAGAAACAATAAAAATAACAAAATTTAACATTTCCACAATAACAATAATAATAAAACAAAAAGTTAACTATTGACGTATTGACCATAAGTGAATGTTTATCATAATAATGATAAACATTCACCTGTAAAGTTTATCCATTTAATGTGACCCGCGATTAAATGTACTTATTGTTCACATTGAATATATTATAAATAAAATATATTTACATAATTAAAAACAAATATGAGATAAAAGACTTTACATAATACATTTTTGCTAATTTGAACTGTCGACATAACTTTTTCTGTCCTGGAAAATTAATGGTTTAAAGCATGGGTTCCCAAACTTTTTCGGTTTACCCAAGTCAAAAATCATTGGTGTGTCTCAGTGCGAACTATATGTTGGGAATACCTGTTTCAATAAGTTTCCACGAGTTACCAAAAATGTATGAGAATTTGCATTGTTTTGGTGGAACACGATTTACCAATTCTGGACATTTTTCTTTAATTGTTTCCATTAGTTTTGGAGAGTCACCATATGAATTAACAGTTTGATTCCTTGGATGCAGCTTAAAATATACAACACCTTTGTTATGCCAACTTTCAGCATGAGGTTCGTCACGCTTGGATTATGATTTCGATTGATGCTATTGTAGACTATCAATCTTTCATTACTTGTGCTGATTTCATTGCGTTTGAAATGAATGTTGGAAATATTGATTCGTTGTGTTAAGTGTTTTTTTTTTAAATTCATGTCAATATCGAGATTCTTGAAGACTGTACAAGATATGCATTTGTTAAACTATTAACAGCTAAAAGTAAAATATGTAAAAATGTTCTCGCACTCCTGTTAAAATTGACCCTAAACAAATAGTTGCAAAACATAATTACGCGCAATTGGCTTCTAAAGGAAAATGATAAAAGGAAAATATCATAACATTGACAGAAATCCTTCAAAACAAACATAATTCTATTTATTAGTGAACATTTAATACTGACAGAAACAATAAGAACTGATCTGATATGTACCAGGGATCAACCTGTTTGGAGTAAAAAGTATTTTTTAAGATATTGTTAGCTGAAAAAGGATACAAGCAAAATTCTTGAAAATGTTATTTAAAGTAATTATTTTCTTTGTATATTTTAAACAATGTACCAAATAATCAATTATTTAAATTAAGAAACATATTTAACACTAAAGGTACCAACTTTGCATGTATATCAAAACTGGTTAAAAACTGGTTATATTTATCAGTCACTTTCCAAAAATATTATGAACTGGTGCTTTTGAAACCTTCATCCGAAACTGAAGAGTTAGCAGCAGTTTCAATGTCTTTTACATCACTCGGAACTCAATAAAAAAAGATTTTTTTACGCTTATCCAAAAACATATATTGTATTAAGTTTACACTTAGTTTATTGTATTAGGAACACTGTTCGTCTATTTTATTTATTTTTCTCATAACTTTGATTCTGACTGCCTTGAATAAAAGTTGTAAAATCCTGCACATGAGCCTATTCGTCTATTGCAGCTATTTTTTTTAGTTCTAAAAGAATAAATATTTATCAATTTTCAATCGATCAAATTCACTGGTAGATAATCTGGGTTGCAGATTATTCTTCTACATTTATTATTTTATATATTAAAAAAAAGTTGATTTCGAACAGAGTTTTAGCTTTCTGTCAAGTTTTTGCATTTTAATTCAAAATAAAATTGATTAAGTGTAGATTATATATAATACGATGTAAATAAATATTTTTTTAAATTTCACATTTTACTTACAACTTATTAACAATAATATTATGTTAATTATTTGGCGGTTAACATATAAAAAATATATAAAAATAATAATTTAAGACTCAATACAAAGAGAAAGCTGCAAATAAAATATCACCATTAATAATAAAATTGATGAAGTTAAGCAAGTGTAGCAATAAGTAAAGCGAAAGTGATATTGAGTAGAGGCAATTTTAATTAAAAATACCACAACCATGTAAAATGTTGCATACATTAGAAATGTGCGTTTACGTAGTCATGTATGAATGCAGAAACAGAGATAAAACAGCAAGAAAAACTGCGTGGAGTAACCTTGTCAATGAAAATGAAAGTTCACGGTAAAGCGGTAATAAATCGTCTAAAAGAACGCATCGACAAAAAACGAACGTACACACAATTTAAAACCTGTTCAAAATATCTGTAATTTCATTTGTGAAGAATACACATTCTTTTTATTCTTGTAAATAAATTTAATTAATTTTATTTCAACAATCTTGCAGATAGAATATAATATAGTTGTAAAATAATTGTCTTACATAGATACAATTTCTATTTATGTAATTTATAGTTAACTTGACATTTTATAATACTTTATTTGGAATACTTAAGGTTTTTTTTTTTAATAGTAACAACAATGTTATGTTTTTATTTATGTATGTCACCATCAAGTATATCTTCTATCTACGGAAAATAAAATGTTTCAATTAAGGAAACCGCATCTGATATGGTAATAAACTAGGATTATTTATAGTCAAAGAAAAACCTTCTACGCATTGTATAATATGTAAACTATCTGAACGTGAATGTGAGAAATAATTAATATCTAATTAATTGAATAGGCTTTAATTAGTGTAATATGCTGTATCATTCGTTATTTTTATTTCATATTCAACTTGTTTTTATAATATTGCTCATAAAAATAGTTCTCACTTTACGAAATCAACATCGTTGCATTATTGCAAATATTAATTTAATATAATTTCATTGCTTTTATACTTTCTGAAAGGACTTTTCATTTTACAAATTCTTGTTTTTTATATTGATTGAATTAGTTCGATAAAGAATCTTATACGATTTAATTATTGAGAAAAAGAAAAATATTATCATTATTTATTTATTTTATATGCGTTTTTAGAAAAGTCTTCATTTTACGAAATATGAATTGAAATATTTTGTATACGCTATAATACGATTTTATTAATTACTAAATTGAATTATTTAATTGCATCATTTAACAAAAGTTAACATTACTATAAATATTAAGATTTTAATTTGCGAAATATTTATTTAATTATTTCTAGAATGTATGATTCTGTATTACATTCAAATATTTGAAACACTAATGTAAATTAAAATATTTATTTATTTTAGATTAACTCCTCTATATGCGTTTGTGGTTTTCTTCTGGTCCTCGATGTTTGCCCACATCGGATCAGGTCCATTCTGGCGATTCGTGGTTCCTGCTGAGGTTGCCGATTGCAGAAAAAACTGGTGGGCAAACTTGCTTTATATCAGCAATTATGTGGACGATGATCATATGGTATACACGTACAAAAAGTAAATTACAAGAAGTCGATTAATGGTTCATTTGTTTTTGTTAGTGTATGACACATTCGTGGTATTTACCGTGCGATTTTCACTACTTCATCATCGCAATATTCGTGATTATGCTGATCAATAAAAACAAGAAGCTTGGTTTTGGTCTTCTCAGCGGTCTCCTCCTTCTTTCCATTGTCATACCATTCCTTCTGACGGTCATCCACTTACGTCCAGCCTTGCTTCATTTCTATCCCGTTTTTCTGGTCGCACCAAAAGTAGACACGGACTTTCAACTGACGTACACCAAATCTCATGCAAGAGCATCAAGTTACTTTACCGGAATGTTCTTGGGATATTTTTACTACAAGTACAAGGATACAGACTTTAAACTCAGCAAAGTAAGTAATCAAAATGTGGACCTCTCGACAGTTATTTAACTGATTATGTTGCAGTTCAAATCGCATGCCATCACTTTAGTGTCCATCTTTCTGTTATTCCTTGGAATGAGCAGCGGTGCAGTCTTCTACAACCCATACCACGAATACAACGTCATCGAAGCCGCAGCCTACGCGTCTTTGCACAGATGCGCTTGGAGTTTAGGATCCGTCGGTTTGATATTGGCTGCATCTAATGGTCATGCAACGGCAATCTACAATTTCCTATCCTGGTCCCCTTTCATTCCTCTGAGTAAACTAGTTTACGGAGCTTACCTCACCCACATGCTGTTCCAATTACGAGGGGTTGCGATAGCCACAAGTCCAAGACACTTCACATACTTTGACACGGTATAACACATATACTTTACTCATTCACAACAACTATATATTACCATTTCTTGCTTAGATTTCTATGGGTTTAGGCGACATCGTTTTGGCTTTCGCTACAGGATTCCTGCTATTCATAATGATTGAAAATCCATTTAGGAAAATCATTAGGATCATTCTATTTCCTCAAAGGGTCGTCACCAAAGAACAAGACGTTACCAGCATTAACGCCGATGTCAGCAGAAGAGATACAACGACAACTACAAGTTTATAAATACTTGGTAGCATTCGGACAGAACGTTTCAAATTAATCAAATAAGCTTACAATGTAAATACAATGGGATATAAGTTTTTTAGATAATATAATTGTAAATTTCCCAAATTGGGCAAAGAAAATGTGATATATTTTTTTACTTTGAAATTAATTTTTTGTACATAATAAAAATTCTGCACTTAATAATACATTTTTATACATTCTATCACATATTTCAACAATACTATTTACGTTAAATAATGTCCAAATGAGCAGTTTCCAAAGTTGACATAATTAGAAATGCAGTAATATAGATTTTTATATTGAAATGTTTTATTTGTCATATATATATTATACTAAAATAAGACAATAGTTATAACCTATGACATCTAATTTGCATTATATTAAAAATTGTAGACTATTAAATATTATACTTGATAATAAAGTAGAGACGCTTTCTTAACGAAGGTAAAGTATTACAATTTGGGTCAATAAATGTTTAAAGTAAAATAAACAATATGTTTCCATGTAGTTTGACTGCTTTTTGTTTAAATTATTCTTCATTTAAGATTATTGTATTCAGTTTCTTCTTAGAACATAGATTTATAGGTGATGAAATACGCACAGATTATATTTATCATGCAACTTTAGTGCATTAATTACATTAAGTTTCTAGAATAGAAAAATAAATAAAATAAAACTGAAGTTCTATCAATTTATTAAATTATAACGATCATAATTATTTGTGTTTTTTTCATTTACTAAACTAGAGATAAAAAATAGAATAAAAAATACTTGCTATTGTCTTCCTACTAATTATTTACTTATTGAATCCATAAGTTAGCAACTCTACTAGCATTGTTGTGTCGTAACTATTTTATAGGACAGGTCGCTTCTTGTAATATGACGAAGGTGTAATATGTTGCCTATAACTAAAGTATATAAATAATATTTACAATTTGACTTAACCTATAAACATGTGTGGAATAATTTGTTTGATTCAAAGAGAGCATAATCAAGACTTTAATAAAATAGTAAGTAACTCTTAATTATACCTAATTTAGTCTTTAAACGTAAAATGTTTCAGTTTGAAGGCTGTGAATATTTAATTAAAAACAGAGGTCCAGATTCATACCAAACATTAGAGTATATTTGTAGTAAAACAAGTTGTAACTTAAAATTAGGTGCTAGTGTGCTATGGCTTCAAGGAAAATCTCTGACGAAACAACCACTAGAAAATGAGAGCAGTATTTTTGTTTATAATGGAGATGTATTTGGAAGTGAGACAATACAAGATAATTTAAGAGAATCCAATGGAGATACAGAACTATTTCAAAAGGCACTTGATGGAAATGACGGTAATATTAAAAAGTTTTTAAAGGGAATCCGAGGACCTTTCGCGTTTATTTATTTGAATAAACAAAAAAGTAAACTGTACTTTGCTAGAGACATCTATGGTCGCAGAAGTCTCTTATTGGGTTGCAGCGATGGAGGTGACATCTTATTGAGCAGTTGCGTAACTAAAAATTCGTGCAATTTCATAGAGTTGCCTGCTATAGGAATATTCAGTTACGATTTGCAATCCAATCAATTGGAGTTAGTTCCATGGGATATAAGAAATAATAACTTTAGTATGAAAATACAAGAAGTTAAGCGCTGTTTGGGAGAAATTGATTTGATCGTTAAAGATGAGAATGTTAAAACTTTGCAGCTTGATTTTACAGAGCCTAATTTAGGGATTTTAAAGAATTTAAGTAAGGAAGAAATATTCGAAACACTTTTAAAAGATGAGATTTGGGGTGGAAACGTTAAAAAATTAAGCGATTTGCTGCATTTCTCTGTATTGAGGAGGATTAAAAATCAACCAAAATATTGTAAAAAGTGTTTTTTGAATTTGGGAAGCTGTAAGGATTGCCGAGTGGGTGTATTATTTTCGGGTGGTTTGGATTGCACGATTCTCGCTTTAATTGTGGACGAGTATTTGGATGAATCGAGTCCCATTGATTTGCTGAACGTCGCATTCGAGAATCCGGGTGGATTCGATACGCCGGACAGGTTGACCGGTCGGGAAAGCTGGATGGAGTTGAAGGAATTGAGGCCGGAAAGAGTTTGGAACTTTGTGGAAATCAATGTCGATTTGGAGGAGTTGAACGAGGCTCGGGATTCGCACGTTAAGCATCTGATATATCCACTGAATACCGTGTTGGATGATAGTTTAGGATGCGCTCTATGGTTTGCTAGCAAAGGGATGGGCGATGGTTATATTTCCACCTCTAGGGTATGGTTGAATACTAGTTTTGCGGGTCGTGTTTTGAATTAATAATAGGTTTTGATAGTTGGAATGGGAGCGGATGAGCTCTTCGGTGGATACACCAGGCATCGGGCGGCGCTGAATAAGGGTGGATGGCAAAGGCTTACGGAAGTCCTGCAGGAAGACTGGCAGAATATTTCGCATAGGAATCTGGCTAGGGATGATAGGGTTGTTTCCGATCACGGACGGCAATTGCGGACACCGTATTTGGATGAGGATCTCGTTGAATTCGTGCTAGGCTTACCGGCATGGCAAAAGTGAGTTAGACATTATTTTTTAATATTCCATTACTTTAATATATTATATCTAATTAGGACGTATCCATCTGATTGTCTTCCGCAAGGAATCGGCGAGAAGATTCTGTTGAGGAGTTTGGCGTATCGCATGGGGCTTAGAAGAGCCACCAATTATAAGAAAAGAGCCTTGCAATTTGGGTCTAGAATTGCGAATAAGAAAGAAAATGCTCACGAAATATCACCGAGATTATGAATAATAGAGTTTTAATTATTATTATTATTATTAAATGATTATTACTAAAAGCTTATTTATTCGATATATAATAATTATAATAATTTGTTTAAATACATATTACACACAACAACACTGCATATTAATTTCACGATTAACTATTATAATTCTCACTAATTAGTCATAATTAATATTTCACAAATTATAAATATTAAAATTATCAGACAGAGACAGATGAATATTTATTGTCACGCAATAGACATTTAATGTTTTTTAGGCTTAAACTAATGCTTGGATTTAATAAGCACACAATATGGAACAATCATTAAAATCTTACTAACGAGCAATTCATTGTTGGAACAAACGAATTAATTTAGAGAAGATATGTATTCATATTACATCATTGTGTTATTAAATCATTTATAATTGGCAATGAAAACATTATAGATTATTCACAATCTTCCAGTAATTTAAACAAAAAATTAAGCTTTCATCAATTCCAAGAGTAACTGCAGCAATAATTTGCTTAAAATATAGTATCAGGATCATGATTACACTATACTTCGGCTGATTTGAATTGCAACAATTAATTGTGATATCTAAACGCTGTGTTTCTTTTTGTTATTGTATAATAAAATCATTATTTATAAATGATTAATGTTCGACTTCATATGAATTCCCTAAAACATACGTAGAATTAGTTATAAGCATCCTATACTTTTCATTACCCTAAACTAAATACGGTCATACCGCATAGCACGGATTGCCAAACATTTCCTGCTACAGAACGCTTCGAACATCCTGAAATTTTCACAAACATCTTGTTCGTTCTGTATTGTATATAACGTGTATTTTTACAAGTAAACTATAAAATAAAATGGAAAACATTTGAAAATGAACACTTATGAGTAGCATTTAACAAATTAGTAACTATAAACGGTCAAGTTCCTGACGTGTTAACAATATTCCCTGCAAACGCAACAGTTTGTCCTTGCTCTTGTGAGGAAGCTTACAATCGTTGCCTCGTTTATGAAACATGGTCAATTTCATATAATGAAAACACTGTCTAGTTATTCCGCGGTTATCAATATTGGATAGGGACTTTTTGTGTTGTAATGATTGAATGGCGTTAAAGAAACCCAAATCGAGGATATTTAAATCGGAATTGTTTGGTGGTTATCAAATATTTTTTAAGTTCAAGCCATTTTCAGTAGCTGCAATGTGGTTTTTAGCATTATTTTGCTGCATTTAGATTGGAATGGTTCTTTGGAAGGCCATTTTTTTTTTATCGAGGGAATTAATTTCTGTAATTGTTTGAATATAGACATTTTGGGTAGTTTTTGCAATATCGACTGTAATAAATTACCTTAAACAAATTGTCAGCAGTTAAAAAACGAAACTAAGAATTTTAAAATTTTACCTGTTAACTACAAAAACTATTTTGACAAATGTGAATCTTTAGTCTAAAGTCATTTTTTTAATAACTACTAATACATTTAATTTCATTACTTCAATAATTTAACTAAATATTTTACTGAAAACTTATATTCTTCTACGTTCAATAAAATTGAAATTGATAAAATGGACATTTCATGGACATTTTTGAAACATATTGATAGAATTACTTCATTTCTAATTTCTTTAATGCTATTTTCTTCTTCTAGTACAACTTCTGGAAATATTTTGTCCAATGATTGCAGGTTGTTGATCTGAAATTGGAAGATATTTATTGTTAAGTAGGACTAGACATTTCGGATTTTGTTATACTAAAGCTTCTTTATCAGAGGTCAATGGATTTGAGACTCCGTGCATAAATATGGAGTGGTGTCTCCAGTAAATAAAACAGTAATTATTTTTTATTTACTAATAATAATAATGTAATGTATAGACAAAAAATCTTATTAACTATTTTACACAAATTTCAACTTTACTGTAATCAGTTTTTAATTATTTTTTTGCATTTCTATCATTTTAAACCATATTTTTTTCAGAATTTATATTGATACATCGAATATTGTTTCCACATCAGTGCATCGAGCATTGTGATTTGGCGCTGTTTGCGGAAATAATATACCGAAATAATTTATGTGTAATAGATGATTGCATTTGGACAAATGTTTGCGCATGGTGTACCAGAGGGGGATGAGGAGGGATGTTTATCGGTTGGAAGGGGCGGCGTCCGTTCCGGTATTAACATTCGAAACGGCGGCAATAATAAATCAGGGAATGGAATTATCCGAGAATTAAATATCGAAAAATTGTTTTTCTGCGGAGTACGTACGCCTCGGGATTTAATTTCGACCATGTTTGTCTCGTAAAAACCAATAACTGCGGTGTGGATGTCTCTCTATCTCCTCTCTCTCCATACACACATACATATATATCCATACATCCACACACATAAATACACACATGTATAAAACACACACATATTGACACTCATACAAGGATATATATACAGTCTCTGGGGCAGCAGATTGGCTGGGAAAAGGACACAGTCGCACACACACATCCATTCTGCAGCCGGAGGCGGCTCAGAACTAACAACACCATTCACACTCACACGCACACGTACTGAATCTATTTTACTTTGGCTAGGATTTTTCTTCCACTTGTACCATACCCTTTTTCATACCTAATTCTGTTTTATTATGATTAATATTTGCGAGGAAATGGGTTGAAGAGACGAGAGTTCTCTCATTCCGCATCCAGTTTATTATTACCTTTGGCCTTTTTAATACCCTCCCCCACTTCCACCTCTTTACCATTTATCCACTTCTGAAAGGAAATATGTCGAGATTAAATTGTATTTGGCCGAAATGCGATGAGTGTGTAACGGCCTATATTATTTTGATGAAACGAACGCAACAACGCACATGCAATAAACGGAACTCAAAAGTTGGTGAAACTTATTTGTACTTTTTGCAGTTGTAAATATACGCAAATCGATTTTTTTCATGTGTATTGATGATGATGTGGGAATTAAGTTCTTTTTTTCGTGCAAATTTTTGTTGTAGCCGAAATAACGAGAATATCATATTTTTGCGTCGATTTCATAATGTTTGAATACAGTGGTACCTCGTATATCAACGTTCTGTATGGACGAGGAAAATTTTGTTTAGTATACGACTTGCAACAAAGCACAAATATGCTATAATAACATGCAACAAATGTTATTACAGCATGACCAAATAATGTTACTTTTCCGAAAAATCTTGAGGAGAAGACAGCAGTAAAGTTCAATAGGCGTTTTTTAGTGAACGTCAAAACTGATGTTCTTCAATCAGTTCCAAATAGGAAGCAGGAATGACAAAATTTAAGTTGGTTAAATTTATATTTAGTTCATCTAATTTTATATTTATATTTTTTTATACAAATATACGATTAATTCGTTTCATTTTCCCTTTATTTCTTGAATAAATCGGTTTGGTATAAGTCTGAGGATAAGTCTGATCAAGAACACATAAACTAATGTATAGAATTGTTGTCATTTTGTTCATAATTGAGGTTTCAAGATGAAAGAATGGCGACAAAATGTCAAAACCTCATTCAATCGATACCAAGAAAAGTAAGATCTTTGTTTGAGCCCTAAGTAGGTCATTTATGACAGTTAACGTAATCCTAATGTGTTTACTAAATACTGGTGCAATATTGTATTGACTGCGGTACAAAGAAGTTGTTTTTGTGCATGTTCGTTCTTGCTCTGTTGGTGTAATAGCAGACGATGCTGATACCTCTACTCTCGCTTATATAGAGGGGGGCAATGACGACAATTCTGATTCAGAAATTATTATATTAATGTATTACAAATAGTTATAAATCTAATAAAAAAAAAACATTATTTAACATGAAAAAGTATTTTCAGTGTGCAAGTAGTTAAAGGTTAAGGTAATATTACTACCTATCTGGATGTACGAAATATAATTGTAGGGAGCCTAAGAAGCACAAGTGGTGCTCGTTGATACATTACGAACAGGAGTTCACGAAGATCTTTAAATGGAAATAGTGGAGGAATCTATTGTGAAAAACAGTAGCCGATACCAAAATAGACTAGAAAGCCATAAAATGTTTTTTTTTATGATTAAGTAAGTGCTTTTATAAAATATTTTTTTTTTAAATAATTTGGGCTGGAAAGGGTTAAAAACCCAAAAAACTGAAGCAATTGAAGTTACTGGATCTACGATTGAGCTTCAACAACAAATTAACAATTACGGAAAAATTACCCACAACCGAAGTCCAATAATTTTTGTCAACTGTTAAATTGTTAATAAAATTGAACGCTAAATTAAACAAAAATCCATAACAATTTGAAAGATTCAATTTTCCAATATACAAATTGGTTGATTGATAAATTATAATACATTGATAAATTCTGTTTAGTGGAGTATGCGATGTGAATATTTGGGAGATCTGTTGTCGTTAGATGATCGTGATGAAGAGGGTGCCGTTGGCAGGAAAAGGGATCGAGGTATTGTGTGTGTACGGGGATGATGCAAATTTTAATAAAGTGAGCAACGGCAGCCTTTTGGCACCTGACACGCGTTTTGTGTGATTGTAATTGTTTCGAATTGCCGTCGATGGTGTCGTCATGGACGTACCCATCAGAACAATGGGCCCGCAACTTCCAACAATGGCGGGAACGAGACAGAGCATGAGCGAGAGTTCAAAATTGCTGCGCGAATTACACACATACACACACAAAATCACTATATATACATATATGTGAGTGTATATATACATACACACACGCGCAGGTAGCATGTATGTGTATAATACGGCACAATAATAACATCAAAGTCTCGTCTGCCGATTCAATGTAGTAATACAATTATTATTAATTTCTACGTGAATTATTAAATCAGATTCAATAGATTTCGTTCATTGTGTCACTTTGTCGTCGCGCCAGATGTAATTACATTCCTGCGAAGGGAGTTTGTCCTTTCGCAGTTTTCAATGCAGATCCGTTCGACAATATTATATTTTTCGGATGGATGGGTGAAGCAAAATGCAAAATGAACGAAGGTGACGAGTTTCGTCCTTGT